AACAATAATACGTGGCCACAGGAGAAATATTGCAGCCATTTCCACGCAGAGACTGTTGATTGTTGGCATTGACAAGTTTGAATTAACTTCATTTTATTTTAATATAGGAATGAATTCAAGACACACTTCAGTCTATTGTATTTAGGCATGGAGTAATTTTTATCAAGAGACAATTAATTTGGCTGCTCAAAATCACCTCATGGCCGCGCTTTATTATCTCGTATTAATGTTAAATGTTAAATCTAAATGCTATTAACGAACCATACGCATTACGGGCTTCTTAGAAACATAATAAAACATGTAGATCACAACTTTTGTGAGGTTACAACATGAATTCTGAGTGCTGAATGACTTAGTTAAAATTTGCTACATTAGCTAAAAATAAGTTGTTAAAACTAAAATAAGCAAAAACCTAGCTAATAGGTAAACATGGGAAATGAATGGCTAAAAGCTAACTAGCAAATACTGGCAGCAAAAGGTTAGCTAAAAGTTTAAAAATAGCAAAAAATAGCTATATTGAAAACAAGGTTTGAGGATAACAATAGGAAAAGTAAAACTATAAACAGCAGATTAGCTAAAAGTAGAAAAAAGCTGACTAAACATCAAAAAGGCTGGTTAGAAAGAAGGTAGAATATTGCAGCATAGGAAGGCTAAAATAGCTGAATCAGCATTCACACAATGATCTTTATTGTGTTTCAGAAAACAAAATAAAACATTGTAAACTATTTGTACTGGTTCTCTTTAGAGCTGATCACTTTGACAAACATTCGAGTGAACTTCACACACCTCTTCACACTCGGCGACACGCTGCTGTCCCGTAGACGCAGGAACCCCCAGGAGAAGTATTACTACTCACTTTACAACATGGTGGTTCAGGGAAGCTGCTTCTGTAATGGACACGCCAGCCAGTGTGTTCCAGTGGACGCAGGACGAGGGGATGTCTTCAAGCAGCCTGGCATGGTATGAACCGCTACTTACTGTGGCTTTTACATGAACTTCAGTGAGTTAATCCTTAACTTTAATTCAATTCAAGTCACTGAAATATAAAAACACTGAAATACAAAAACAGTGCTTGTGCAAAAATCTTTGGCAGGCATCTTGTGAGGCGCTACTTAGGCCTATATTTGTGCTGTTTACATGTGGGAAACACATTGTGCATGCCACATGCTGCGTCATCAGTCCAAAAATACACAGAAATTGTCTTAATGTTTTTACACTTGTATCACGTAGGCCTATATCGCAAAAACAGAAGAAATAGGTATTTTACATAAAGCATGTAACTATGGGGTGCTGTTTGTAAAGCATCTTGTATCAAAAAGTAACAGTGACATTTATTGTTATTTAATCAGGCAAATCCCATCTTTCACACAGGAGGCCTTGGCCTGAAGGCAACTTATTGTACATATTTCTGTGTACATTTAAAACAAACAATGCTTGAAATAGTGTAGATTTTCTGAAGTCACCCTTTAGCATATTCAAATAGCTAAATCAAAATGCTAAAGCTAAATGTTAAATATATATGTCAAAATGTTAATTATAAATGCTAAATTTAAATATCAAAAGTTAAATCGAAATGCAAAATGTTAAATCTCATCGTCAAAAGTTAAATCAAAATGTTAAATGTTAAATCTAAATGCCTAATCCAGAAGTCAAATGTTAAATCTTAATGCTAAATCTAAATATTAAATCAAAATGCTAATTGTTAGAGGAGCAACAGCGTCCTTCATAGGGCCATCGCAAGTGTGGAGTGCAGGTGAGGGCAGGGGTATTAAGTCCTACACCTTCTAGATAAGTTATATTAAAAACCTAAAATATATGTCTAATATGTCCCCTAACACAATGGTTCCCAAACTTTTCAGCTTTTGACCCATAAAATAACAGTAGCAGAGATCTGAGCCCCCAGCTAGTTTTGGATGATAAACATTTGTATCAGGTCAACAAAACATGGGCATAGTAACATAATTTTTTATACTACATTTGTCCATTTTAAATATACTAACCTCACTCTTTTGTAACAATTAAGGCAAAAATGTAATTACTTCAGAAAATCTTTTCAGGACCCCACCTTGATGTTTCAGGACCCCACATTGGGTCCCGACCCCAACTTTGGGAAACACTGCTCTAACACATTTTTACAAATATGTTTTTTTTTGTGTTTTTGTACTTTAATAATTTGCTCTGTGTTTGCACCTGTCAGCCTCCATGATTTTCTGTGTCTACTAGTTGGTATACTACTGTTCTGTCCCACTTGATTCTGAGCTTTAAAAAATGTGAAAACTGAGTACATTTTTATACATACCTATGTTCTCAAAAAGGTACAAAATGACCTGAGTTACAATGGTAAATAACCACTTTAGCACACTATTTTCTGACAGACTGAACCTGAACAGGTTACAACTGAAATGATTTATGAGCTAATACTATAATACAGTTATTGGTAAAACTTTAGACTTTTAAGCTGAATTAAGCTGTTTTCTCTGTTTGTCTAGATTGTTCTGGGGCCAGACATTCCAGTGTTTCTGTAGTTTAGTGCTCATCGAATCATCAGATTAAATTGATCAGTTATTAAGTTCTTCCTATGTCCAAATATTGATTGAACTTTTGCAGAATAAACCTTATAAATACATTACAGTGACCTTCAGGAAATATTAATATTTAAAACTAAACTTTCACAGATCAGATCTGTGTGACAAACATTGAGTTTTCAGGTAAAATGTTTTTTTTTTCTGTTTTCAGGTTCATGGTCGATGTGTTTGTCAGCACAACACAGCTGGAGAGAACTGTGAGCGGTGTCAGGAGTTTCACAATGACTCCCCGTGGAGGCCCGGAGAACAAAACACACACAACATCTGCAYACGTAACTTTATTACAATGTTTATGCTTTTTATTTTGCCCAAACACTATCCAACAATCCTAACATTGATATATATTTTTTCTATGTTAAGGTGGGAATTTGTGTATTTCTTCTCTGTATTTTCACAAAAACGAAACAAAAAGACATCTCCACATTTTATTTACACTCTCAGAAAAGAATCACTAGAAGTACGTCTGGTTAACTTATGGAATCAACCCAAAGATGGTTTCCACAGTTAATCACCATAAGCAAACATAAAAATGGCTATAATCAGTTTTACATAGTTTGAACTGGGTGTGGTAATAGTAGAAAGCCATCTCTAACATTTACTCTGAATGTCAGCTGAGGTCTTTATTTAAAACATTGGAATGGAAAGCGATGGATGATATTGATCCCACCATATTTAGGATGTGATAGACAAATAAATTCTGAAATTGTGAACAAACAACGATATTTTGAATTTATTATACTTGTTAGTTTGAGGTATCAAAAAAGTATGGAAGCCCATTTCCGCCACCCTGATAAAAAATAAATAAAACTTGTATCTCATAATTATGACTTGGCTATCTCATTATTATGAGATAGTATCTCATAATAATGAGATAGCTAAGTCATAATTATGAGATAGTATCTCATAATAATGAGATAGCCAAGTCATAATTATGAGATAGCTAAGTCATAATTATGAGATAGTATCTCATAATTATGAGATAGTATCATAATTATGACTTAGCTATCTCATTATTGTGAGATACTATCTCATAATTATGAAATAGTATCTCATAATTATGAGATACTATTTCATAATAATGAGATAGCCAAGTCATAATTATGAGATACAAGTTTTATTTTTTTATCAGGGTGGCGGAAATGGGCTTCCATAAAAAAGTGTTTGTGTTGTTGGGAACAGTTTCCTAGCTCTTGCCTAATTTGTTTCTTAGTGTTTGTTCTCCTCTCAGATAGGTGATATTTTGTGTCTTTTTCAGGGTGTAACTGTCATGGCCACTCAGACTCGTGTCACTTCGATGCAGCTCGATACGAAGCAACCGGTGGTGTGAGTGGCGGTGTGTGTGAGGACTGCCGCCATGACAGAACGGGGCCCCAGTGTGAACGGTGTCAACCTTTCCTATATCAGGACCCACGGCGAGCACTGGACGACCCTCACGCCTGCAAACGTATGTTCCACCTGTCAGCTGAGCTACACTGCAGACTGTCACTGGGATTGTCTGTGTTACCGCAGCAGAATCAGAGAGATTTCTAAACATTCTATCTAGGGCAGAGCTGGTTCACAACAATGACATATACTACAAAAATAACAAGTCAAAAATATTAGATCTAGGTTCAAATCTATTCTTAATAGAATACATTCATGCACAGTGCTTCATGACCTGCCAGTAAAAAAGCTACAATCGAAGAAAGCCAGCAGATTGAGTTGAATCCTCACTTTGTCACAATCTTCCATCCTGAGCAGCATGTTGGTGACAGTGGAAAGAAATGACACTCTTTTAGCAAGAAGAAACCTCCAGCAGGACCAGAATCAGGCTCAGAATGGGCAATCATCTGCAGGGAATTGACAGGAAAGAGACACAAACAAACACAGAAGCAGTTGGTCTAACTATAAAACCAATGAAAAAGCAGCTGAACTAAGGAATAACTTAGAAAACCAACCGATTAAAATACTTTATCAAAAAGGAAAGTCTTCAGTCTAATCTTAAAAGTAAACAGAGAGTCAGCCTCACAGACAGAAACTGGAAGTTGGTTCCACAAGAGAGGAGCT